AATAATAAACTTTTTTAATTAGTTTTGATGTGCCCTGAAGACCAAGGATACCAATGAATACCCCTCACGTTCAGGTTTTTGTACAGTTTCCCTGATTTATTGAGTAAATGCTGAGATGGCCCCATGTTTTGCTTCTGGACGTAAATGCTTCACTCTGCCCACGTTTTGTTGAACTCTTCTTTTGCTTATAATGGTAAGAGTAGAGTTAAAGGCGAGTTGCTATTTTGTTAGCAATGCAGAAAAATCATACTTGCAATTTGTGTAACAATGCAAATAAGTTTTCTATAACTTAGAAACAAATATGACTATTTTTCAAATGTTGCTAATCTTGCGATTTTTAAAATCTATGCAAAACTTTTACTCATTTTTCAACTTTTTATAGTTAAAATGACGGGAAGGGATTCTGCAACTCAAGAAAACGTGCACAGATAATTCCCCCTACCCCCACCCCACGTCACATACAGTTTTTACTGTTTTTTGACTGAATAAATCTAAATCTAAAATCTAAATAATTGATACCTGGGATGCTCATAATGAATTGAATGGTATCTTCCATCATCACCACTATCATCTTTTTAGCCCCCACCATCGTCACTACCATTGCCATTGGCACCACCACTATCACCACCACTACTGCCATTGACAATTCCACTACCAACACCAACACCACCACCACCACCATCACCTCTACAGGCATTGCCCTACTCCTCCTGTTCATCCTCATCCAACAACTTGAAATCTTATTAGAAATAATAAAAATATTGTTGTAAGAAAATTTAAGAAATAAAAATTCACTAAAACCAGTGAATAATTATTATAATATACAGGTATCTAAACGTAATTATTAGTATAATGCCAAATTGTTTCTTTTCCGGTAAGGAATATTTCTATTCACTTTTGGAGGAATTTCTACAAAACAATTATATATTGTTTTGAGGATTGTTACTATATTAATTGGAGAACAATGGTTGCCTGCAATACATTGTAAATCAACTCTCTTGAAGTGCAGGTACAGATTTATGGAAAATTCTAATAACATTCATCTCAAAATCTTATAATCTCCATTAATGGTATTTCCATTGTTATTGCTTATATTAGTTAAAAGTTACTCAAAAAGAAAGTCAATACGTAAAATACAATGAAGTAGCCTACATAGTAGTACAAATTTAGTAAGAATGTATTACATGGTTATCTCCAAAAGCGAAGCAAAACAAAGAAAGGGAATTAGATGAATTAAGATAAGAGGAAATAGGAAGAGAGATAATAGAGCAAGAGATAACATTTTGTTATCTAGGCAAAATACTGGACAAAATGCAGAAAATCTAGAAAATTATATCTAGAAATATGATAGATCTAATGGATTCCGAATACACAACTTGTTATCCAAACAATACTGCTTTTGGATTCACAAACCCAAGCGCTAGTAAATAGATATCACCAAAAATTGGAAACAGCACAAATGAGATTCCTCTGATATATCATAAGAATAATATGATGGACAAAGAAATATGGGTATCACTAACAAAATTTAAACAAAAAATACAATAGAATGAAGATTAAATATTTTTAAAACTAGCATTACAAAGAGACATTTGAAGACAAAAGAAAAAAAAAAGAAAAAAAACAGGCACACCTTGAGATAAAATCATCAAATTTACTGTACCAACAGAAATACTTGATAGACTTAACATATTGATGATGATTTTTATAATGATATTCTTCTTTAACAATAATTTACTAGTATTGTTCAAATCCCTTGTTCACCACTCAAATTTTTTTGATCTCCACACATTTTGTTGACTTCCAGAATCCCTTCCCAACCCTTTTAACTACAAATACAGTCAACTCTGGTTATAGTGAACTTAAGTAACTCACCTGTTTCACTTACATTACAGATAAGCATAAGAATATTCAGATATAGTGAACCTGAACCCATGCTATAGTGAACATAGGAAGCAAGTCCTGGGAATTAATCCGGGAAGGGAATCATGAAGAATTAAGTATTGAGAGAGCAAGAATTCTGAAGATGTATCTAATGAAAAATGTAGGAAACCAACAATTGAAAATAATTGATTTTTTTATGTACATATGAAAATATGGAAATTTTTAGTTTGTGCTCTTAATGAATTTTACTGTATAATAATCAAATCCATTATTATGGAGAAATTTCATTTAATGTTGGCATCATCGGATATAGTGAGCCAAACCTGTTAGTCACCAGACGTTCACTATAACCGGAGTCGACTGTAGTTGAAAGATGAATAAAAGTTTAAAAAAAATAAAATAAATAATAAAAATAACAAAATTTAAAAAGCCTGTGATTAGCAACATTTGTAAAATCTAAACATTTTTTCCTTTGTGAGTTATGGAAAACTTATTTACATCAGTAAACCAACTCTAGATTTGATTTTTTTTACATTGCTTACAAACTAGTAACTCACCCCCAGCTCTACTCCTAACACTACAAACAAAAAGAGAGTTTAACAAAACATAAGCATAGTGAAGCTACATTTTTGTCCTGAAGCGAATCAAGGGGCCATCTCAGCATTTGCTCAATGGATCATTGAAACTGGACAAAAACCTTATCAAGATGGGGGTCATTGACCCACAAGCTGATGTATGTTACTAGTTACTGGCATACTAAGTCTTTTTTTTTAATATACTACATTCAGATATATAAATACTGTGTACATAAAAATATAAAAATGCAAACTAATGAATTATATAGCATTTTATTGCTAAAATAAATATTATATAAAATTAGTTAGGCTGCAGAAAAGATTTTACTATTAATTGTTTCAAGTTAATTTAAACATGTTAATTAAAACATATAAACGTGTTTTAATTTTTAAAATAGTGTACCAGCTTCAATTGTTTAAATCCATCTGGCAATGGATTGTACCCTGGTTTTAAAATAGCCTGACAGTAGCTTGATTTTCAAAAATATTTGGAAAACTTCTATTTTTGATAATATATGTACCATATAGATTATTCTGTTTTATTACTAATATTAGAGATGAGAAAACACAGAAAAAAATTTCACAATAGTTTTACAATAATACAATTCTTGAATGACATTCTTTTTGAATAATCCTAGTCTTATAAAACTATTAATGTGATGAAATAGAATTCAATAAATAGATGTATCAGAGTTAATTATCCCTTACAAAAATTGATCCTGAAAAGAATGAATCTGAAACATTATGCTTCCTGACATTCAATAATTCAATTCATTGACATTTTCTTTAAGATTGTCATTATATCTTTTGACAGACCATTAGTTGCTGCTATTTTTATACTGCAAAATTTTTCTCTTTAAAACATTTCCATAAGAATATCAGCTTTTATCAATATACTACAACTCTTTCCCATTAAGAATGAAGTTAATGTTAATTTTATTTGATTTTTGCACAATTGCTTTTGGTATTAATTTCATAAAAAACAGATAATATTTAGAGGCTGCTGACACTATTCTAAACATTTATCTTTTGAGAATTTGTTAATGGATTATTATTTGCAGTTGCAACTGAAATATGTTTTAAAATATAATACAGGAATGTTTTATTGAGTTTTAAATTTAGAAATAATATGTACAGGAGATAGCCGTAACACATATAGTAGTGTCATTAGGAAAAATATTCAAAATTAATATGAAAAATAAATACTGAAATGAAAACATAAAATAAATAAAAGCAATCACAAATTTCAAAATTAAATAAATGATTAATTATCATTGAAATTTTAATTTGCTAGATATGTGAATGATAAATATGAAAGTTTTGTTTTAATTTATTATAAGATATTATCGAAAAATTATTAATGTTCACACCACAATTTATCATTTTTCTATTCATTCTTAGTTGACATAATCCTTTTATAATAATTTGAATAGAGAGAATATTTAATTTGTATTTAAGGAAAAGTTAAATAGTTTGAGACTTTTTATTTCATATTTTTGATAACACAGTATTTACAATTTAAGAAAAATGACACAATTAACAATTAATATTTTTTTATTTTGAATTGCATATTATTATATACTCATATTCTTGAAAATATAATAATGTCAAAGGATAATACAACACTGTTTAATCAGTCTAAAAGAAGAAAATATTACAGTATTGACATATGTCACTTTTTCAAGAAACAATCATAATTTACGTGTACATTTTAAATATTTCCATCAAATTATTTCCAAACATTCGTTTCATTAATTGGACTTCATTGTGCGGACAGAAGTGCGGAGATTTGATTTATTTTTCGAAAAAAAAAAAGAATAAATAAGATGTATAATTTGTTGGTAATTGTCAAACGAAGTCCCTTTCAAATAGCTGGGAAGAAAGTTGTGTTATTTCTGCAATGACCGACTAACATTAAAAGTCATCAGAGTTTGAGACATCACTAATATCTTATCTTTATCTTTGTAGGATTACAGAAAGTTTGCTTTGAAACAAAGCCATATGGATAAAAATTTAAAATGTTTTCGAAATGGTTTGATTTTACCCAACTGTCATGCTCACTAGTGGACATATATAGTCCATGTATGTCGTTCTCATATTTTAAAAATAACGTATTTGAAATGTAATTTGTTATCCGACTACGTAGTATTACCACGGACGAACACTACGTTGCAGCAGACTAAATAACACACTTACTGTTAATTTTCTCGTAGCGATCTACTTAACCATAATATTTCCTCAATTAATTCATCCTTTCTTAAACTTCGGCGAATATTTAATTATGCTAATAAATACTACGTATTATATCGCACTTTACACATTTTACGATAGTACTTCGTACTGACGCAAGTGAAAGGAACAAAGTGCTTCGTAATACTGTCTCACAAACATTATCAAACGATTACGATATTCATATCGTCAAGGAACATAAAAATCAATGCGGAACGTAAGTCCATCGTTCACCGTTCAGCAATTGAAGTTCGCGAAAATAGCAAAGAAAGAAAATGTTTCTCTCTAATAATGCATGTTATTCTGAGACACCATTGAATTCCAAAAACGTCTTTGCTGCGCTTTCTGTCGGCGCAGACTGGCACCATCGTTTTCCAAGTGGGGTGTCCTTCTCCATCCTCATTGTCGTCTGTATTTACAAAACTAAAACCAATAAACATTTTAAAAAATTAATTAAGTGATGAAAATTTATTAAAATTTTACATTGAAAACATTCATTCCAGAAGACGAGAAAATATTATGAATACATCAGTTTGAAGCTATAATGACTAACTGATTTGGAGAAACATGCAACAAATCCTGGGGATTTGTGAGAAGAATAATTTAAAATTTCGTGCTGGCCAACCCATGTTCCCGTCACGCGAAGGAAAACACAATTTTATGCCATTCTGACATAAAACTATATCATTAATGTCCAAAGAGCGTACAAATTGAAAGATAACTATCCCGCTTCCACCTACGCGAGGCGTCTACGGTGTCTTACCTAGGAACTCGCGAAAAATCCAATTAGTGGCGTAATGTGGCGGCTCCGGTGGGTCTTTTCATGTATGAACAATTTTGAACAGCAAACTCGTAGTTAAAATAAATTTTAAACACTATACTGCCAATGAACATTTTGTGAACATATAACAGAACACATGTGATATGTGCCCTCAGATTGTTAGGCAAATTCGTTTATTCAGAGTCATTCTGTATAGGATATTTCACGATCTTTGCGCCAATAAAAATTACCTATTTTTCGATAGCCGTCTGTTTCAGCCTCGCCTCGTCTCGTGTCGTGTCGTGTCGTGTCGTCCAGCCGCAGAGAAGTGGCGGCGAGAGTCAGAGGCGCGCGACCTCGCCGTCCTCGTCCTCGTCCTCGTCCTCGTCGTGGGCGCCCGGGCCCGCCGGGTTGACGAGGCCGGCGTCGGACGTCCGCGCGCCCCCGTCCTCGGCCAGCGGCAGGCGGTCGCCCTCGGCCGCGCTCGCCCTCAGCTTCTCGCTCGCGCCGTGCGGCGGGGCCGGCAGCGACAGGTCGTGTGGCCCCACGGGCACCGGCGGCTTCTCGGGCGCCGAGAACACCTGCAGACGACGCAATCGACTTAATTGACGGTTCTGGGCACGTCGACCGCAAAGTTCATTAGTACCGTCGGTGCAGAGCATGGTTTTAGGGGGTGGGAGGCGGCGGTGACCTTCCCTCGCTGGGTGGTGAGATCCGGCGCAGACCTACTTTGCTGTTGGCTTCCCCAACCAGGTATCTCCCACCAGCTGGGCACCGCCCCCACCGGAACAAGCTCTAAGCTCCCGACCGGTCTCCCGACATGTGTGATAGCGTAGTGCATCTGAGCAGGTGTAAGTGGTGAGGATAGGACCAGGAATAGGATGGAAGGGTCGCACGCAGTCCATGGCCCGTTTCGTAGGGGACTGCTCCGGCATTCGCCTGGTGTTGAAGGGAGAAACCATGAACAGCAACCGATTAGAAGAACCGGCCGCTAGAATTCTTCTCCAGACAGCGACTGAATTCAACCCAGCTAACTAGCTAGAGTCGGAAATCCTCCACCGACGGGACTCGACTCTAGGACCTCCCGGTCAAATGCACGGCAGTGACATCAGTCGATGCCGTGAGCCACCTCTGCTGGCGGGGACAGCGATTGTGAGTGCCCCGGGCCGACACGTAAACACAAAGATAACGCGTAAACCAAAGTAACCAACCGCTTCCTTTCGAAGGATTTCGGTAGTTTTGGCCAACATGCGCATGCGCAGATCTGCTTCTGAGCGCACGTGCGCGTTTGTTAAAACTACCGAAATCTTTCGTCAAAAGGAAGCGTTTTAATCGCGTCTTCTAAAGAAGTGCATCAGTCTTATATATATATCTTATATATATATATATATATATATATATATATATATATATATATATATATATATACCGATGTGATAAAATTGATAGAATTAGCATTTGGTCACTCTGGTGTTACGTACATATGACTCGGTCTGAATTATAAACTGTAATTAAGTTAACAGGGGATAGTTAATGGGTAGTTTTCTTTACAACATTAGTATTATTATCCTCCGGGAATAAGCAGTGCAACAATAATATAATATTTTTACATTATACTTGAATTAGTGATTGTTTCTGCACAAGTTCTTATTATTTGATTAGTCACTACTATACTATACTTACTATACTAAACGCTCGAGGCTAAAACAACTTTTAGATTTCCATTTCTCTTCATCGTACACTACCAAACAACAAAATAAATGCTCGCATCTTACGAATTGCGAAACGAAGAAGCTTCAGAGTGGATTTAATGACGCTCCGTGTCTTTGCAGGTAGTTAACGCAAATAATGAACAGTAATGGACGAGTATTGTTGGGAATACACGAAATTAATGTTCAATTAACGGATGACAAAAGATAATCAATGAGTGATTCTATTCGAGACAGCGACTGAATTTGAACTATTTAACTAGTTTTTGTCATCCGTTAATTTTACATTAATTTCGTGTATTCTTAACAATACTTTGTCAATTTCTTACAAATAAGCAGCCCTTACTTTTGAAATGAACTTGACGGGTCTAAACGTTAAATCCAGTTGAGAATGATATTGATAACTTGTAAGAAAATAATAAATAGGCGGACAAGTCATTAAACGGCAGAGCAAGTAAAAAAAATAGAATAGACGTAAATGAGTATGCGAACGAATGAGTGAAAAAATAAACTATTACCTGCAGGAAGTCCCAATTTTGTATAATAATCCTTATGTTAATATCTTTAACAGAGCTGTTTAAAGCAAGATTACAGTACAATGCATATGGACCTTAATTCTATAATATGGACATATTCTCATTACATTGATCAAATCGAGCATTTTTTAGATATAATAGATCAAAAGTGAAGACTCTAAAATAGTCAGTGAGTGGGAATTAATGCGTTAGTGAGTTAGATAGTGAGTGAGTGAATGAATTAATGAATGAATGAGTGAATGAATGAATTAAGGAAAGAAGGAAGGAATAATGACAGAGCTGAGTGAAAGTGAGTGAGTGAAAGTAAATGGTTGAGATTACGAGAGAGAAGGGGAGAGAGGGAATGAGCACTCGAAGAATGAATGAAGTGTCACCTGCAGGAAGTCCCAGCTGTCGGGCAGCAGCCGTCGCTGGAAGAGCTGCCGTGTGCCCCAGCTGCACAGCAGATGCGCCGCTAGCGCGCACAGCATCGTCAGCGTGCGGAACGGGAACTTCTGCACCTGGGCTTCCTCGTCGTACCAAGGGTACTTGATGGCCGCCGGAATACCCAGGCCAGGCTCACCGCCTGCAACGACGCACGTCTCAGGACAGGTCCCTGCACCTTGCCAATCCTTCGCACGTTGCATTAGGATTACGAACGAAGAAAAATACGTTGAATAAACAACGTGAACCACAGAAAAATGTTCTAATAAATTCGTTCAACTGGGCTAGAAATCCATCGAAAAGTGATGACTAAGAAATTAAAATAAAAAATCGTCAGACCAGAACATTCAGACATGAAACACTTGAGAACAGAATCTACTGTTTCCTTTTTACGTATATTCTTTTTCCTTTATCTCAACACGTAGGGTTGTATCGGTGATAACCACGAAGCCGCAAATGATTACATTTTTTTACCAAATCTCTTTCAACATTCTTAAATTTAATTGTGTGTGGACTGCTACCGTAATTTCATCAACATAAACTGCCAAAACATTTTTGAAAACATTTCGCAATTAATGTATCAGCATAAGAATCACCAAGAACATTTCACAACTTCATCACTGCGGACATGAGCACTGCGGAAATATTTCGATCAAATTTTACTTGCTACCGGAGAGATAGAAAGGGGCGGGGCGGAGGCATATTTATTTGCGTTAAAACTAGTATAACATGCACACATCTCTGGACAGACGAATACTTTGAAATGCTCGCGGTTAAAGTGAAGGGTGGGCGCTCAGAGGCACTTAATATAATTGGGGCTTACCGACCACCCGACGATAACTTTGAATTTCTAGAAAGGCTATCCGAGAAAAGAAAAAACTTTACAAATAACAGTCGGTCAATAGTTAAAAGAGACTTTAATCTTCCGCACGCTAACTGGGAAGGCAAGGAGGAGGCCACGGGAGGGGGGCAAATGTATATAAATAAGATGATCTGGGAGGAGAACTTCGAACAGGATTCGCTCCGTGACCATCGCAGAGAACGGACGCACCTTGGAAGAGCTCCGGTCACAGCAAGAATACAGTCCTTTTTAGGACTTAAGAGCAAAACCGTAGCTGCCCTTCTAGGGCTGACATTGTTAGCAATGTCGACGCCCGCGTCGTCTCTCGCGCGGCTGTTCTTTACCCCTCACGGGGACGAGAGCAGCGAGCGTGATAGAACCGCTGGGAGAGGCAAGACAAGGGGAGCCGTTAAGCGACGCTTAGGCTCCCCGTCGACCGAGCGAATATGCGCTAATCCTTCTCCTGCTTCCAGGAGGAGAACTGAGGACGGAGCGGCGCAGGCCACCTCGCCGCGCCACGCGCCGCCCGCTGCAGCCACGACGCCACCGCCAGCTGACACCGCAGCCGCAGTCACAGCTGCCAGCGCCGGGGAAGAGGAAGAAGACGGGTTCGAGATCGTCACCCGACGCCGCCGACGCCCACCCCCTATCTTTCTATACGGGGTGACATATCTTCGGGCCCCTCGAGGGCTTGAGATCGGCCTGCGGCTACGCCGAAATCACCGCGGAGGTGGCGGGCGACGCCGTCAGGATCCGGCGCGAGTCCCTCGAGGCGCATCAGGATGCTCTTGCCGCCCTGGACGAGAGAGCCGTGGAGTACCACACGTCCTCCACGGGAAACGCGAGAGTGCTGAGGTATGTCCTGAGGGGTATACCTCTAGAACTCTCGCTGTAAGGTCTACATGACAACCTTGCTCAAATTAAGGTTCAGGTGCAGTAGCTGGAGCGCCTGATCAGCCAGCGGCCGGGGCGAGGGGCAGACCGCTGCCTCTCATCATAGCAACGCTGGAGGACACGGAGCGCCACCGGGCGCTCCGTGAGCTAACCAACGTACGGGGGCTCCGCGTGCGCGTGGAGATGTATCGCCCGCCGCGCGGGCCCACGCAATGCCACAGTTGCCTGGACTTTGGGCACGTGGCACGAATTTGCAAGCGCCGCACGCGCTGCAAGAAGTGCGGGGAACTGCACGAAGCAGCGCAGTGCCCGCTGGGGGAAAATCCCTCAGTGGAAGAGCGCAAATGCGCTAATTGTAGCGGCGAACGCCACGGCGCCAAATACAAGGGTTGCCCCGAGTATAAGCGCCGTTGTTTCAGGGGAAACCAGGTCCAGCAACAGCGACAGGAGAGACTCCAGCGGGACCGCCAGCGACGCGCCCGCGTCCAGGAGAGGAGAGCAGCCGACACGCAGTCGGAGGCGTCGCGCTCTCCCTCGCGGGAGCGCGAGCCTTCGCGGCCTCAGCGTTCGCCCAGACGCGAACGCCGCCGAGCGCAGCCGAAGCAGCGACGCCAGGAGCGGACGTACGCCGACGCCCTGAGCAACGCCCCCGCCCCACCCGGGAGCGCCAGCCGACAGCCGCCGACGCGGCTCGCGAGGAGCGGGATGCGCGCCTGGAGCGAAGTAGGCGGACGGCGGAGAGCGTCCCTGTTCCCTCCTCACTGAGCGAGCAGAAGCGCGTGCTGCACCAGGCGGTGGACGATCTCGCCCGAAACGGGATCTCCCCGGACGTGGTTATGCAAGCGATAATGCGATCCGTCACCGGATGCGAACCGGCCGAGTGGGCGTCAATCATGCTCAAGATTGAATTACAATACTCCTTGAGCATGCACACGACACCGCTGCGGCGGAAGCAACGGGGGGGGGGCGCTCATCCTCACCCGCACCACATCCTTCCCACCCTTAAATAATGGCTAGCTTCATTTTTTTACAGGAACAGGGGCACCGTTGCATTTTGGAACTGCAACGGCATCTGCTCGCGAGAGAAGCAGTCAGAGCTACAGAGATTTCTCGCTCGGCACAATATTTCAGTAATGATGTTGGGGGAGTCATGGCTCAACCCGCAACTCTCTCTAAATATTCCAGGTTTCTTCTGCTACAGAAACGACAGGGCGCCGCAAGCAGCGAACGTGACAGCCGCCAACAGAGGAGGCGGGACCGTAATCTTAATAAGACGCAACATAAATCATTATGTTACAGCGCTTCCGCAGCTGCAGCACGCCGAGGCCACTGCTGTTGTCGTTCAGACGGAGCGAGGGCCGCTGCGTCTCGTATCCATCTACGCACGCCCCGATCGCACCGCGGAAACGTGCGCCCTACTAGCTGCGGACATTGCAAAACTAGCAGAGGTTAACACAACTCCAACACTAGTGGCTGGCGATTTTAATGCCAAACACACGGCCTGGAGCTCCCGTATTACATGCCTCCGTGGCCGTAAGCTGAAAGCAACTGCCGATGCAAATGGCTGCGATATATACGCACCAAATACGCCCACCTACTATTCCTATAGAACAGCAAGCCCGATACTTTAGATATTGCGCTATGCAAGAAACTTCACTACCCTCCCACATTAACTACCGTTCACGAACTCTCCTCTGACCATTTCCCACTGATAGCGGATATGAGGCGCAGCGGCCTAACCCTGTCCACTGCACCCACGACGCAGAAGAGGCGCACGGACTGGAAGATAATCCGAACGGAGCTGCAGCAGCGCATACCAGACGCAGCTGCCCTGTCAGGACCGCAGCCGATAGAAGCTGGTGCAGAAAAATTCGCCGAAGCTGTGACTGACAGCCTAAACGCAGCAACGGAGAAGCAGCGTTCCTCTAAGAAGGAGAAACCATTAACCCCTTATCTTTTGAATCTTATTTCTAGGAAAAACAGGGCGCGCCGATTGTGGCAGAACACGCTACATCCAGCTGATAAGCGGGAGCTAAATCGATTAAAACGCAAAGTAGAAATCGAACTGGCTGAATACCGCAATCAGAAATGGGCCAAATTGTTGTCAGGTCTCAAACCTGAGGGTAATTCACTGTGGCGAGTCACTCGCATGCTTTCCAGGAAACCAATTACGGTGCCGCCGCTTCGGACCAGCACAGGAGAACTCGCCGAATCCAATGCAGAGAAGGCGGAACTCCTAGCTAATGTCTTAGAATCTCAGTTTCAGCCGGTCCAGGAGGCGCCGCCGAAACCGCACGTTGTCGAAGTACAACAAACGGTAATGGCGGCCTTGCACGCGCCAGCCGACGAGCCGAGTTTTACTACAGAGACTGAAATAAAAGCGGCCATCTCGAAGCTGAAGACTAGAAAAGCTCTCGGTCCCGACGGCACCACTAACGACGTCCAGAAACAGCTGCCGCAGCAAACCATAGTGTTCTTGGTCGCATTGTTTAATGCTATTTTTATGTTCCAGCATTTTCCGAGTCAGTGGAAGCACGCGCATATATTAACTTTTCACAAGCAGGGGAAAAACCCGAAAAAGCCCGAGTCCTACAGGCCCATTAGCCTATTAAACACGGTCGGGAAGGTTTGTGAAAAACTAATGCAAAATAGAATTTTAAAATTTATTACAGAAAACGCACTATTAAATAAGGAGCAGTTCGGCTTTCGCGCAGGACGCAGCACAACGCATCAGCTTGTGCGAATCACGGACCGCATAAGACGCAACTTCAATAAGCGACGATTTCCAGGTGGAGTTTTCATCGATGTTGCCAACGCCTTTGATAAGGTCTGGCACGTCGGCCTCCTTTACAAAATCCACTCAATGAACTTTCCCATGTACCTTATAAACCTTATCCAATCGCACCTAGCAAACAGAACGTTTCAAGAGACACTTCTGAATGTTAAATCTACCCGCCGCACCGTACGGGACGGAGTGCCGCAAGGGAGCATGATTGCTCCTACGCTCTTCAGCCTTTACGTGCGTGTTATTCCCACCCACCATCAAACAGAGCTCGCCAAGTATGCAGACGATACGGCTGTAATAGCCACGTCAAGAAGTATCGAGCTCCTCCAGAAGTACTTGGATTTACATTTGCTACAGATCCGGGAGTGGCAGAAACTGTGGCGGGTCAAAGTCAATGTGAGTATAGTACAGCTGTGCTCTTCACACGAAGGCAGAGATTCACGCGGCCGAGGCCTGACGGACAGAGATTCACGCGGCCGAGGCAATCGGCCTGACGGACGGTCTGCCCGACGGACAGACAGTCTGCCCGACGGACAGACAGTCTGCCCGACGGACAGACAGTCTGCCCCCCTCAGGCCGACTTCCCGTCCCTTCAGGCCGACTGCCTGTCTGTCAGCGACTGC